CTGTGTTGATTATCAAAGGAACAGCACCTTGCGATGAAAGCAAGGAGGCCATACTGCCAGAATCGGGGGCTTGCATAGAGGGCGAGCTGTTTGTGAGTGATAAAGGGGCATGCTGGATGCCCACTCTTCACAAAAGCGAAAAGGTTGGACAGGGGGGCAGCAAAGGCTTCACTTATACGGAGAAGGTCTCCTATATAGGCCTGGTTGATTTCATCTGGAATGTTAACAAAGGAGGAGCCTCGGAGTGCTTGTTCTGTAACCCTCCTCCAGAGGAATGTACGGACGAGACGATTAATTTGCTTGCTGGAGATAGCAAGCCTCGCCATCGGCCATTCCCTAGGCAGGTCACTATAGATCTGTAATGCGGGGAGCGGCACCCTTTGCCTGGCAGTTTCTCTGGCCGTTCGAGCCGCATTTTGATAGTCGTATAGGGCCTGCATGGCTCTCTGCTCGGATTCCAATTGGAGATCAGTGTCGGCCGTGCCTCCACGCTCTGCATTCTCTTGATCACTGGCAATGTCTATTTCAGTCATAGCATGTGGGCGCTCTTGCGCCGATCCAGGGTGATCAGGTGGTGTCTTAGGGTTCCTGCAAGCGGGAGCTACCGGATTTTGAGCATTCCGACTGGCCAGGTCTGCCAGTGTGGCCGGTGGTTGCTCATGTTCAGGAATGCTGCCGAGTGGTTGCCTGGATGTTGGAGCAAGTGATTTCCGTAACTTCTTGGACTGAGCTCGCCCGACACTAGCCTTGGACCCCGGTCTTCGTTTGATTGGGGACTCAGAGGAGGGTGATGTGGGGCTGCTACTTGGGGGGTCCACGTCCTGTGGGGGTAGCTCGCTCCCTGCATCATCTTCTGCCTCCAGCATTTCATCTTGCGCGGGACTTGCATCAGGAAAGGCCGGACGATTGCTAAGGCAATCACCCTCTTCTTCTGCAGAGGAGGTGCTAGCACTAGCATCATCTGCCATGTGTGCGTCATCATCCTCCGGTTGCTCTGTGCTCGGGATGGTGGGCGACTCGGAGGAGGAGCTGTGGATTGAGACTGCTTCATTTGCGTCTTCTTCAGCCATTGCAGCATCTGTCACAGCAAGGGAGGACAGCGATTGTCCCTCTTGCACTTCTTGTTCCTCTTTTTCTGGGTCACGGTCAGAGACAGAGAGGACCTCAGGTGTCAAATTTGGCCGAGGCCAGTAACAGCCATGCTCTAAAAGGCCTGGTTTCGGTGGCAGGACAAGGTCGGATTCAGGGGCATCTAGGACTGGCTGCACTCTCCATGCGTCGTAGAAGTACACCCGGTGCAGTGCTTCAAAGGTATAATCCTGTGCACTGCGCTGTTCACGTGTGCTTGGCGTTGGTTGATAGCGCAGGGAGCTTCCTACGCTACATCGTTGCCCTGGGCCAGAGCTATTGTGGAGAAGTCTCCAACGTCCTGGCTGCTGCCCATCTGTTATGACCAGCCACTCTGGCTCAAGCAAAGCATCAGCTGCGTAACCATAGACAAGGTTATGCAAGACCGTACCACCAGGCAGGTAGGGCCCTTCTAAGCGCCGGTGCTAGCCATTTTTCAGATTTTGAAAAAAGACATCTAAAGAACGGTTTGAATTTTGGTTCTGTAACTCTGCTCGCGCCACACCTGGCAAACTAAGATCTTGGCTGTCGGGCACAAAACTTGTCTGTGGTGCCATACGTTCACCCGACCGATCCCCAAACAACTCAGGAACCATTCTCGCCGTGGAATTCGGTCTTTCTCCCAAAATCTGATGAAGAACGCGAATCTCATTGGCTCTAAGCGATTCAACCAACGAAACCACTTGTTGGATCGCTGCTGCCTGAGGCGTCATACCCCCAACTTGGAACCATTTGATTCTGCCCGTGATTCTGATGCCAACTGGGTTGCAGACCATAACCACGGTTCGGACAACAACCAGACTGCTGACAGCAACTGGGATTCGGACAACAACTGGGATTCTGACAACAACCAGCGCGACAATGGCACGCCTTGTTGCTCACCTTGACCTGGATCCATTGCGCAACAACGAAGTCTTGCAGCCCACACAGGGCTCGCGACCATGCTAAGCGACAAGCTACCAACGTCGCGGAAGTCACTTACTTATCTTACGAGGTGTGTATGTCGCGTGCACTGCATCAAGATGGCCAGCGGTTGTTTCTTGGCAGTCTTTCCAGCAGCAGAAGGCAAGAGCAACGCGTTTGGTGGCAGTACTACGGGCGGCGTTCACAGAACACGCAAGGACCAGTATGCTCAAATGTTTTTCTTGAAGGCATTAGTCTTCAAGAAGCGGGCGGAAGTTTCAGTGCAACACAAGCCTCTCAAGGAGCGAATGGCTACGAACTTCTTAGACAGCTTACATTGGAGTATAGTTTACGTACGCGGTCGGAAGCGTTGTCGATGAGAGCAGGTTTGGCATCACGAACGTTTTCGTTGTCCGCAGCAGAGACGTCGCCAACCACGGTGGTTTCGGATGTCATTCGTCGGATTGACTTTGAAGCAGCAAGATTTGCCAAAATTGTTGCAACACTTCCCAGTCATGTGGATCAAAATGGTTAGGACTTCCAGAACCTGATTTGTTGGTAATCCTCTTACGAATTTTGCCGGAAGCCGTTCGTCAGTTCGTTTTGCATCATGCTAGTGGCGAGTCGTACACGGCGTATAGGCAGGCAGCAAGGCGTTGGGGAGAACAACAGCGTCTTTTCAGTGAAGCAATGGGAGGTTCAGGCAAAGCAACAGGAAAGGTTTCCCAGGTTGGAATTGAATGGTATGCAATGGACACTTGGGACAACACGGAATGGGACGGACCTTGGGACCATGTTGACTCCATGAGTGCGCGCAAGTGTAGTAAGTGTGGGAGTAAGAAGCATGATACAAAAGATTGTACTGTAGATGTGTCGAAATTGAAGTGCTTTCGATGCAACAAGTATGGACATGTCAGCCTGAATTGTGACCAAAAGACCAAAGGTGGCACAGGAAAAGGTGTGATCAAAGGTGATCAATGGAACAAAGGGAAGAGTAAGAAAGGTTCGAACGGAAAGGGCAAGTCCGGGTCAGGTTCGAAAGGTAGCATAGGTAAAGGCAAGAACAAAGGAAAAATGAATGAGATGCACGATGATTGGGACCATCATGATGAGTGGTGGTATGATGATGATGGATGGTATGACTGGGAAGTGTCACAGATGTGGGATGCCCCTGGTGGATCAGGTGAGTGGCAGTCAAGCTATTGGAATGGGCAGCAAGGAGTTGAACAATGGGGGGCCTCAGAAACGAAGGAGGACAAAAATGATGAGGGTCAACAGGTTGGTAGTTTGATTTTGGCACCTTGTTTAGCTGTTTGTGATGATTTCTGTTGTGGATCTTTCGATTGCGGTTCTTGTCTGACGGTTTTGGAGTGTGATTCGCATTTTTCAGTACCCTGTGATGTTGGTTGTGCTTTGCATTTAGCAGATTCATGTGCTGTCGGATTAGACGTTGGAACGGAAACAAAACGTGAGAAACTTGAGCAGTTGTCAGCAGTGTTGCATCCTGAGAGCTTCGCACAGCCTTTTAGGAGTGTTGCACAGCATGCTGAAGCTTTTCATTGCGCGCGCAACTCATGTCCACTTGCCAGTGCACAGGGTGTGTACGATGAGTCAGCTGCGTCTTCTTTGGTGTCACCTGTTTGCGCTAGGGTATCGTTGTTGAGAACTGGCATCAACACCTTTTTGAATGGTTCAGTTCATGATACCTGTTCGAGCGAGCTTGAATTCTCCAGGTGGGCGCCTACCATAGGTCCTTTGTTGTCAGAGTTCCTTCATGAAGACTCGTCCTGGTGGTTGCTTGACAGTGGAGCGAGTGCCACGGTTTTGGCTGAATCGTGTGTGCGAGCGTATGGAGCGTGTTATAGACCAGAGGCAGGTGAGGACAGGTATCGTGCCGCTAACGGCAGTGCTGTACGCATGAAGGGAACTGTGGAGCTTTTTGTTTGGATGTTGCTGCATCAACCAAAGACGGCGCCCGACCACGAAAATCCAAAAATCGGACCAACGCTTGAGGAATTTCGAAATGGGTCGCAGAACAGCTGGAAAAGAGCTAAGTTGAAATGCCTAGTCGGTGACATACGGCATAACATCATTAGCACAACTCTGCTGTGTAAATCGGGTTGGATCTTTCACCAAGATTCACAAGGTTTTTGGCTTGAAAATGAGGCAACAGGTGAATGCTTGTGTGATACTGCGTACTTTGCAGGTTGTCCATGGGTGCGCCTCCTTCCAGTTCACGATATGCACAGTTCTGAGCATGACGACCTAGGGTTTGTCTCAGGTGTTGCGGATGGATGTGCACTTGGTTTGAGCCCATTGACGCGTGCAACTGAGCCTGAACTTGAGCAGCATCGCGCACAGGGACACACACCATTTCATCCACAATGCATCGAATGCGTCCGTGGTCACTCTGTTTTTCAACATAGACGGAGAACGAAACGTGGTCTTGAAACAGAGATTCAAGCAGACTTTTGCTTCTTGAAGCGTGTTGGAGAGCAGATTGAGTTTTCGGACGTCGAGGGGAATGCGAAGATTTTGGTCATGAATGAACTGGCTACTGGTTGCGTTGGTTACACAGTTGTGTCTGACAATCAAGCGGCGGTTCAAGCACAGATTTCTTCGTGGCTACATCATTTTGGGTTGTCTTCAGAAAACACGTCAGTCGTTTTGCACACAGATGCGGAGAAAGCAGTGGGAGATATGATCTCGAAAGCATCACCTCAGTTCACATTCCAGATTCGTAGATCTAATCCACAACAGCACGCGAGTAACGGTGGGGCCGAGAGAACCGTGCAACGGTTCAAGGAGGCTTTGGCTGTTCTTCGAGCAGACTTGAATAAGAAGAGTTTAGATGTTTCCTTTTCTTTTCAAGCATTGCAGGACGCTTGCACGTATCTTGCACTTTCTCACAATCACTTTGGAAAGGGACCGGGAACTGATTTGAGTCCTTTGGAGAGCTCCAGTGGAAGGCGTTTGACAAAGCCAGCCACGACCCTGTTTGGTTGCACCGTTTTGGCCGAACTCTCAGATGCAGTGAGGAGCCAGGCCGGCAATTTCAGCAATCAGAATTCTCTAGACGCAAGAACGCTACTGAGGGCTCCTGGCCCCGAATGAAACACGTATGGTCGAAGCTTCATTTGTACATGTGGGATTGTCTCATGGCCCTGTTGTTCAGGGACGAGTTCGAATCGATGGAGCACAGGAACTTGTACGGTTTTTTGCAAGGAACATTCGACCTATCCATCCAATGCAATGGAGTCGGGACCTTTGTCAGGACCTTTTGGTAGCATTGGAGCCTAGTTTAGTCCCAGAACTTGAGGGCAATGGTGAGCACCTGAGTGAGAGTGAGCGTAGACTTCAAGAGGGAGATAGAAGATCAGAGAGAGAGTTGAGAGGACAACGAACAGACTTGGAGACAGACGTTGTTAGACCACCTTCTTCTTCGGCTTCTTCACGAGGGATTGGCCGTACTGTTTCTTTTGCAGACCCTGTAGATGTGGAGATGAGCGCAGAGGAGATGCGAAAGTTGAAATCTCAGCCATTGCGTAAACCTCAGTTGAAGGACAAACCAAGCTTGAAGAATATTGGAACGAGCGGGGTTGAGATTCCGGCAACAAGATCACAACCAACAACATTTCAGAAAACACCGCGGTGCAAGGCTTGTGATTCAGGTATGGTAGCACCCGGTATCAGACACTCTGCTGAATGCAAAAGGAGGCAGAAAGCTTGGAACGATAGCCGAATTGAGACTGAAACACATACTTCAGACACAGTGCAAACTCCTGTTCGAACATCTTGCGAAGCAGAGGACAGAGAACAAGATACACAGATGTTCGAACAACATGTGTCTGCGCCCAGTGTTGAGAAGAGAGAGCAAACAATAGAAGAGAGAGAGATTACACAAGAAAACATGGAAGTCGAGAACGAGGAATCCAAGGCATCGCAAACCACAGAACGAGCTTTGCAATACCAAAGAGCAAGAAAGAGAGAGGCTGACCAAGATATAGAAGACCTTGAGAGAGAGAGATCAAACAAACAAACATGTTGCTTTTTGAGACGTACCAAAATCGGAGCCCCGTAACGCTCCTGAATCGGAAGCCTAAAGCAGCGCACAATGCTCAGTGGTTTTGTGCGCGTTCTTGTTTGCCACTTTCGTTGTGCTTAGATGAGGATGATTCAGGACGTTCATCACTTGTGACTTCACCGGAGGTTTTTGATGGAGAGGTCAACTCAATACGCTTTGAATCAACCAGTTCAACACATGAATCTAAGAAGATGGCATTGGGACGAGGACATGTTTTGGTATGGAGACCTGATGAAGTGATAGACGATTCAACTCTTGAGCTTTTGAACGCGGACCTTGGATTTCTTGGTATGCAAGAGGAAGTCGAAAACCTAGAACATTGTAAAACGGGTGTTTTGCTTCACGAAGCTGAAGTAGAAGCAATCAAACGAACAGACAACAGCAGTCGCATCGTAGCCTCGCGATGGGTTTGTGCGCGAAAGAGTGATACACGTGTAAGGTGTAGGATGGTTGGTAAAGATTTCAACCATGGCGGCTCAGCTAGGCAATTGGGACACTCGAGCCCAACACCTTCGAACGAGAGTATGCGTTTGCTGTTGTGTTTGGCAGGGTTGAAAGACTTCAGATTGTGGACGCTGGACATTGCGCACGCGTTCATGCACAGTCCACTACCGGAAAACCAGTTGGTCATCTTGAAGTTGCCTTTGAGCATCAGTCACCTTGATGGTTCCGTCGCTTATTTAAGGCTACAGAGAGCCCTAAATGGATTGCGAGACGCATCCTTGCACTGGCTACGACTCTTAGGCAACACGATCACTTCAGTCGTGGATGAGAATGGCCAACATCTGGGAGAGGCAATGCTTCTCGCGTACGTGGACGATTTGCTCTTGATCTCGTCGTCGGAAGACGTAGAACAAGTGGTCATGAAAACAATCGGAGACATTGTGCCAATGAAGTCCACTGGGTTGATCCTTCCTTCGCGTGAAGGTGGTGGTAAGACCACATTTATTGGAAGGGACTTGATTCGCAATCCCTATGAGAGCGCAGTGTACATCATGGTTCGACCCGAGTACCTTTTGTCGACCTTTGAGGAGTACGGGCTCAAGAAGGAGGTCAAGGCATCGCCCAATGTACCAGACATCGCTGCACACCTAGAAAAGACGGTGGCGAATCCCGCCTTTCAACAACCCTTGTCGCCAGAAGCGTACCGCAAATTTCGCAAGGCCTTAGGTAAACTGTTGTGGCTAGCGCAAGTTCGTCATGATTTGAAGCTGTTTTTATCTCTGATAGGTACACAACAAGCCCATCCAATGCATGGGACGGAGCAAGCACTTAGGAGCCTATTGCGTTTCCTAGTCAGCGATGTAAATGTAGTACTTCGTTAACCATCCAACAGCAAAGAAGCACTTCACTTCGATGGGCGTGAGGAGTTTTCGGTCATGGTACATAGCTTCAGCGACGCGAGTCATGGTCCCTATCGTTTCAACGGTAGACGCGGCATCACAGGTGGCGTAACGTACTTCGAGAATGGATAGGTAAAGTCCTCAGCAAAGCAACAACAAGCCACATCACTCTCAAGTTGCGAGTCGGAACTTTACGCCATTCAACAAATCGCCCAGGAGTCAATCGCGCTAGTACGCTTGTTTCATCGCGTTCTCCATGGTATAGGGTTGATAAGTGAACAAGAGAACATTCCGATAGTCCTTGAGACTGATTCTGCATCCGCCATCCAGCTGCTACAAGGGATTGACATACCTAAACGTTCAAGACACATAGAAATTCGACTCCTATGGTTGAGGTCAAAACTTGAGACAGGTGAAGTCATCTTGAGGCACCGACCAGGTTTGCAGAACGTTGCTGACTTGTTCACAAAATGTTTGAGCACACAGGATTTCATGAGACATCGACTGACATTGGGGTTGGCACCGCTTGAAGGACCTCTTGAGGAACTGGCAGTCATGTTTAGTATGTATTCCTGTGGGAGCAACAATACAGAATACCTCATTGTTGAAGTGTGTTGTAGCCCGGATTCAAACATTTGTAGAGCTTGTGTGCGATCGAACATTCGTTATGTTGGTATTTCTTCTGGTATGGAATACAAAAGCACGTTGCGGAAGACGAACGCGATCGTAGAAGAACAAGCAAGATTGGGAAAATGGGTCCATGTGCATGTGTCAACACCGTGCAAAACAGGATCTCCTTTACTCAATTTTCACGCAGAAGACTCAGAGGAACGAACAGCGCAATTGGAAGAAGAGTGGGCCCGAATCATGAGATCTGTAGGACCTTAATTGAACCTTGGAGACAGCAAGAGCTTTGAACTTCCCAAGACAAACAGAATTTGGAAAAGGGAATTAACGTTGAGCACATTGGAAAATCATGGACTTGTTCATGAGTGCGTTGTACACTTGTGCCAGACCAGACTGTGTAATCCGCGGGGAATTCCTATCGGGAAACGACTCAGGTTTGTCTCGTCTTCGGCTGGATTCTGTAAGTCTCTCAGGACCCGTTTTGGGAGCTGTTCATGTCATGAACATTCGGCAATGAGTGAGATAAATTTTCATCGCACAGCGCTGTATACACCGACCTTGGCACGAGCGATCTTGAACGCTGTGAAGGACGCACGGCGAGACCCGCGAGAGAAAGAAAATGTTTCACATGTTTTTGGTTTGCATGTCTTTCCGAAGGAACGGCAGTGACCTTAGAATCTTCCTCATTGTGTGCTTAAAGAGAAGCCTTGAAGCACGAAACACCAAATCGCAGTGAAAAATCAAGACTGCTTCGGGGTTTGTCTCTACATGTTGTCGTCACGAGCTCTTTGAGATAGGAAGGGTCGTTGAAGGCAGATTTTTTTGGTGACTTTCGCTTTGCTTAAAGCGTGGGAAGCACGGAGCACAGGAATGGTTTGTCAAAGACACACTAACATGCACTTACACACATCACACTTTGGATGACTGTGTGGTGAGATGTTTTTTTTTGCTGGGATCGGACGTTTCGGTCTTCGATTGCTTGAGTAAACTAAGTTTCCAAGCACCCTCGACAGTTGAGTGACGCCATGGCCTTGTCAGACCATGAGCAGCGTGAGCTACAGCGGCTCCTGGCAAAGGCAAGTGGTAAAGAGATGGTGCAAGTCTCGGCAGGCACCATGTCGGATGGTAGCAAGAGGCGCTCCCAAGGTGTGACTCATCAGGATTCTGAAGAGAACGAAGAGTTCGAGCTGATCGCAGGAAGCGCAGATGACTTGGCAGTCTTGAAAGGCATGTATGCTGATCAGGACACTCGTGTTCCCCTTCCGGAGGATTGCAAGACAGCAGAGCAGTGGGGCACTACAAAATTGTTGATGGAGAAGTACAAGAAAGATGAAATGTGCTATGAGAGCTTGATCCTCAAGGCAATCAATGGTGACCAGGATGCGGGCCGCTATTGTCTTTTCATCATGCGGAAGTATGGTGATTCAAAGGCAAAGACCCAGGCACCAGATTTTGCCAGGTTCTTGAAGAGGATCAAGTATGATGAGCGCAAGGTTGAGACCACTGGCTTTGTGCGAACCTTCGTGAGGTGAACAATTGGTAAGAGAGCTTTGGACCACTGCGATGGATGCAGTGAGCCAGGGACGAAGCTATGATATGAGAATCGACTTCGGCTTGACAGATCTTGATGATCAGTCTGAGGCCTAGTGAAAAAAAAAGGGAAAGAAAAGACCGAAGGTCTTTGTACCGCGATTCCAATCCAAGAGGGAGTGTGGAAATAGCATTTCTGTATGTGTGGATTGGATCGCTATATGTATCGACACCGATGCCATATGCATGCGAATGTGAGCATTGACTCAACAGCCTTTTGTATGCTTGATGACGCCTTTGAAAGCCGTCATTTCTAGCCACTTCTCCGTTTAAAGCTTTGCTTTGAAGCATTTGCTTTTCTACTTACTTGAAAGACCGTTTTTGGAGGTGAGAAGGTTCATCTCACGGCAGAGGCCGAAGCTTTGAATTTCGCTTTGGCTCAAGCTCAAGGGCACGTACAGAATAAAGCCAGGAAGACACACCAAGACACTTCGCTTTCTGCTTGAGTGAGAAAGGTCTTCGAGCACTGGAGAGTCGGTTTCAGTTTTCTGTGACTGTGTGTGTTTGGTGACTTCGTGCAGTGCACGCGACATACACACCTCGTAAGATAAGTGAGTGACTTCTGCGCGCGTAAGTACAATACGACGTTGGTAGCTTGTCGCTTCGCAGCTTGCAACGCAGCTCCGACCGGAGAGGGGCTGGGACAATGCTCGTCTGTGTGCCATTGGCGTCCAAATCGGCCATGGCTTGCTTCTTCTGCATCTTTTGCGAGCATGTCAAGGGGAACCTCTGCACTGCTATGCAGGAGGCTACATATCACTGCTGGCAAGTCATGTGGCATAAACCAGCGATGCGCAGCCAGAAGGCCAATCGGAGCTTTGAGGAGCAGCGCTCTATGTTCTCTTAGGTTGTCGGCTATGCCTCCGGGACTTTGTTTGGGGTCTCCAAAGAGTAGTCGAAGAAACGGTTGGCGAGGAATGGCCGGGGCGAAAGCGGACTTGAGGTCCATGTCTTGCTGTGCTTCCTCTCCTACCAAAATGTCGATTTGCTCCATGTGGACCCTTAGCGCCGAATGGACGTGTGCCTTTTGCTCCCACACCAAGCCAGTTGTTGCAATGACAACTTTGGCTTTGGGGATAGCCCCTGAGCAGTACTGCATGGCCAGGTCATACCTGGTGCTGGCTGCATTGGCCATGTTTTCTTCGCGCCCTACAGCCCTTACAAAAAATTTGGCTTGTTCGTTGTCCAAGGCTAACGAACCTAAGAGCTTGGTAATGGCACGCCCAGCTGGGTTTTCTTTGTGGACAACTCCAATCTTGAGGTTGGTCGTCAGAGCTAGCCAAACCAGAAGAAAGGTAAGGGATCGCGTCTTCCCCGCACCAAAGACACCTGCAACGGCCAGTGTGGACCGCCCTGTTTGGAGGGCAGCTGCCAGGGAAAGTGCTACCGACATGATATGGGCACTATCAGTGCGGGCTGCCTTGCAGAGCTTCATGCCTAGCACAGTGGCTGACGGACAATGCCTTGGGGCATCACCCGTTATTAACAGCGCGAACAGCGAGAACAAGCTTTGTTGGAGTGCTTCAGCACCATCAAATTGATAGGCTACAGGACACGAATAGGGTATCCCTAGTGCAGTGGTTTTGTGTTCAAGCGGCATGGTTGCCATTTGCAAGAGGTGATCTGCTGAGGCTGTGTTGCCTACTTCGGCCAAGTTCAGGAGTTGCAGCGGTGTGGTGCGAGGGATAAGTGCCCGCATACAATAGGGGAGACCCCACTTGGCGCCGATGTTCATGCCAAGCTCAGTACGAGTCGGCAGTGGGGCAAAGGCCTCTGGGACTGGGATCACGGCTATGACCCATGCCTTTGGGCTACTATGCCGAGCCGTTGACTCTTCTAGGGTTTCTTCTCCTCCTTGTTTAGACTTCTTTTTGGGCTGGGCTGCATACTCCAAGAGGACCCCAAGCAGCGTAAATACCTCTGCATCTTCTTTCACCACTATACGATAGACTTTACCCACCTCACAGCCAACATGGAGCTTGTCTACCGGCAGCCTATACAGCTGGCGATACTGCTGCTCTGTGGGTTCACTGACCCTGCCTCCAGACTTCACATGGATTGGACCAGCGGCCTGCGAACGTTGCCTGCAACTGCAGTTGGTAGATCTCTTACGTACAGAGGTTACGGAAATCATGGGCTCTGCCTTTGCACACTGTAAACACTTGCGATCCCTGAGGCTTCCACACAAATTGCGAGTCATTGAGCAAGAAGCCTTTCTCAAGTGCACCTCCTTAACTGAGGTCAGTGTGCCACCTACGCTGCTCTATATTGCAAGGCGTGCCTTCGCTGGCTGCGCGAAGCTCAATCAATTTCAAAGAGCTGGAAAAAGTATGACTTGGAGAGGAACGTACTCTAGGGCCAATGCTTTTCTCAGGTGTGACAACCTTGATATGCCCCAGTGGGTTCGCTGGTTGCCGCGTACTCCCAAGGATGAGGACAAATGGGTAGATGACTCCTATGCAGTCTATAATTGATGCCAAAGTCTCAGAGATGCAGGCAGCAGTGCCCTCAGCTGGCACCCGTGTGCTGGCCCTGCTCATATCAGAGGCCTCTTTAGAGCACCCCAACCAGAAGGCTGCGCATCAAAGAACCTCCTTGGTATACCCTTGGGAAAGTGCCAGTGACCAGGACCAAGACAACGATAGGACCAACAGACACACACAACAGGCACACGCTACCAATCGATCCGTGCGTGCAAATGCTGTATACCACCTGCCTGCTAGCCTTTCAGACTAGCACCCGTGTGTTGGTCCTGAGAGTGCCAGTTCATTTCGTTTTGCTCTTCGCTTTCGCTAGCCTGAGTAGCTAGACAGTGCCCAGGCTGCTACCCGTGTAGTGGTGCTGGAAGGGTACAGTGTACAGACTTAGGAATTCGGCGTTTCACCTTGTCTCACCTATTTTCGAGTAGTTCACGGGGCCTTGCATGTATCGGCCAAACTTTGCCTGGCCGCGTTTGTAAGGAGATGTCAGGTACCTGACTGCAGTATCACTGCAGTATCACTGAAATGAAGTATGCATACCTTTTGCTGTCCGCAGGAGCATGTCTCGCCTCGCTCCCGTTGCTGAGCCGTTTTGGAGTCGGGGCCGATATGATGTGCTCCCTCTGTTGCCTCCCCCCTTGGGGGGAGGAACGGGACATGCAACTCCTGTGGCTCTCGCATAGTGGCAATGCACTGTGTCTTGCCATCGGGTATTTTGGAATTTCCGATCACAAGTCCAGTGGTCTTCCCTAGTTGCCATATCATGACTACTGTGAGCCTGGTCACCGTGTGCGGTAAA